TTTCTGTGAAATATGTGACATAAGGTCTAAATTTGTGTTTCTTTAGAAACATTGAAAAACTGCTGGACGTGGTGGTTTATGCCTACAGTCCCAGCACTTTGAGAGGCCAAGGCAGAAGGATAGCTTGAGCCCAGGAGTTTGAGACCAGCCTGGGCAATATGCTGAAACCCCATCTTGACACAAACATAAAAATTAACTGGACATGGTGGTGTGTTCCTGTAATCCCAGTGATTTGGGAAGCTGATGTGGGAGGATTGCTTAAGCGTGGATGCAGAGGTTGCAGTGAGCCGAGATTGTGCTATTGCACTCTGGCTTAGGTGTCAGACTGAGACTGTTTCAAAAAACAAAATTCAAGAACTTTTTTTATTTTGTTTTGAGAAACAAAATTTTATTTTTATTTTGTCTTGTCACCCAGACTAGAGTGCAGTGGCACAATCATGGCTCACTGCAGCCTTGACCTCTGGGCTCAAGCGATCCTTCCACCTCAGCCTCCCATGTGGTTGGGACTAGAGGCATGTACCACCATACCTGGCTAATTAAAAAAATCTTTTTTTTTTCTTTTTTGAGATGGAGTCTTGCACTGTCACCCAGACTGGAAGCAATTCTCCTGCCTCAGCCTCCTAAGTAGCTGGAATTACAGGTGCCTGCCACTACACCCAGCTAATTTTTTGTATTTTTAGTAGAGACTGGGTTTCACTATGTTGGCCAGGCTGGTCTTGAACTCCTGACCTCATGATCTGTCCACCTTGGCATCCCAAAGTGCTGGGATTATAGGCATGAGCCACTACACCTGGCCTAATAACCTTTTTTTTATAGAAATGGCATCTCACTGTATTACCCAAGCTTGGCCTCTGAACTCCTGGGCTCAAGCCATCTTCCTGCCTCAGCCTCCCAAAGTGCTGGAATTACAGGTGTGAACTACTGCGCCTGGCCCAAAAACCCTTATTCATTGTTGGTATAGTCTCTTTGGAAAACGGTTTGGCAGGTTGTCATACATAATTAAATGTACACTTACCATAATCTAACAGTTTCACTTCTGGATATTCAAGTAAAATGAAAACACAGTCATAAAAACTTACATGCAAATGTCATATAGGTTGATGCAAAAGTAATTGCAGTTTTTGCCATCTTAAAGCCTTTTTTTTTTTTTTTTTGAGACAGAGTCTTGCTCTGTGCCCCAGGCTGGAGTGCAGTGGTGTGATCTTGGCTCATTACAATCTCCACCTCCCAGGTTCAAGCAGTTCTCTGCTTCAGTCTCCTGACTAGCTGGGATTACAGGCGCCCATCACCATGTCCAGCTAATTTTTGTATTTTTATTAGAGACAGTGTTTCGCCATTTTGGCCAGGCTGGTCTTGAACTCCTGATCTCGTGATCCACCTGCCTTGGCCTCCCAAAGTGCTGGGATTACAGGCGTGAGCCACTGTGCCTGGCCTTTAATGCTATATTAACAGCAAAAACCGTAATTACTTTTGCACCAACCTAATAATTGCCCAAAACTGGAAATATTGCCCCTGCACTTCAACTGGTAAATTGATAAAGGTTGGCACGTCTATACAATGGCATACTATTTTGCAATGAATGCATTCACTAACATTGTTCAGTATCAAATACATTATGCTAAATGAAGGAAGTCAGACTTAGAAGGCTACATACTGTGTGATTTCATTTTTGTGGTATTTTGGAACAGGTAAAACTATAGGGAAAGAAAACTGACCACTGGTTGCCAGGAATTGGAAGAGAGTTTAACTACTGAGTGCATGAAGGAATTATTTTGGGCGTTCTATATATCTTCTGTATCTGTTCTGTATCTTGATTGTAGTGGTGGTTACATAGTTATGTGTTTTTCAAATTCAGGAGTGTACATTAAAAAGAATGAATTTTAGTAAAATTCATTATACCTCAATTAAAGTTCTACGGTATTAAAAATTGTTTTGCAAATATCTCAGAAAATTTTTTTTTCTTTTTTTGCCAAAAACTCCAGAGAATATACCAAGTAATTGTTTTTAATTTTAATGTTGTAGAGACAGGGTCTCACTCTGTCTGTCGTCCAGGCTGGAGTGCAGTGGGTGTGATCATAGTCACTACAGCCTTGAACTCCTGAGGTCAAGTGATCTCCTGCCACAGCCTCCTCAGTAGCTGGGACTCAGGCATGCACCACCACGCCTGGCTAATTTTTTTTTTAGAGGCAGAGTCTTGGTATGTTCCCGAGGTTAGTCGAACTCCTGGCTTCAAGAGCTCCCCAACCTCTGCCTTCTAAAGTGCTGTGATTACAAGCACTAGCCTAGCCACTGTGCCTAGCCATGTTTTGTTTTTAGATTCTGCTTATGTGACTTTGGGAGGAGAAAGTGGTGGATGGCACTGGTAAAGTTTTTTTAGGGTGTTGAAAACACTGTGTAAATGCCGAATATGTTTACACTTAGCATACATTCCTGTCATACATTTAATAGAATTTTATGATGTCAGAATTAGAAGAGCCCAAGAGACCTCATAAAGTGTTCTTTTTAAAACAGATCAAGGACCTGAAACCTAGGGAGGTTAGCTAAAGTCCCACAGCTAGGTAGTAGCAGACATAGATCTAGGATTTTTTACTTGTATTTTACTAAAACACAGTTTTTATTTCAAGTTATTCTCTTGAGACTGTTTTTAATTCCTTTTTAAAACCTTTTAATTGTGTCATCCTAAAACTAGAAACCACTTCCTTCCTAGTGGTAGCAAAGTGTTGTGTCTGGTTGATAATAGGAAAGCTAAATATGAGAGATTCCATACCACTTTAAAGTTTGCTTAGACCTACTCAACAAATTTAGTTATAGACACTTTTCTTTAATTAGTAAATCTAGGTGCAGACACTTTAACTGGTAAATCTGGATGCTTATTTTTGTACTTTTCAAGGGCTATCAGGAATAGGTTTTAGTAACTTTATTGCATTAAAAAATGATATTTTCAGGCTGGGCGAGGTGGCTTACACCTGTAATCCCAGCATTTTGGGAGGCCGAGGAGCGGGGAATTACCTGAGGTCGGTGGTTTGAGATCAGCCTGACCAACATGGAGAAATCCCGTCTCTACTGAAAATTCAGAATTAGCCGAGTATGGTGGTACATACCTGTAATCTCAGCTACTTGGGAGGCTGAGGCAGGAGAATCTCTTGAACTCGGGAGGCTGAGGTTGTGGTGGCCGAGATCACGCCATTGCACTCTAGCCTGGGCAACAAGAGTAAAACTCTGTTTTAAAAAAAATATATTTTCAGATTATTATGATTGCTGGTTTGTTGGGAAGGTAGAAAAGCTTTAAGTGTGTTCTTTCTGGTTACCTTAGCTGCTGAGGATTTATCCTATAAATACTGAGAGATTTGAGAAAGCAACAGAAGCAGTCTTAATAGATGCATATTCAGGAAATGGAGATTGTAACGTTATTCAAGATGTACAGCAGCTTTAGTTGTCTTCTGTTCTTGAGAACTGGCTAACTTTCACTGTACCTCTTGTGTTCACTCTTCCCTGTGAGTAGTTTTGATTGCTTCTAGACCCAAAAAGAACAAAGTTTAGAGTTCCTGCTCCTTAGAGATCCTGTTGATATTGTGGATATTGCAGATCCAGTCACAGAACTAGCAGGTAGAAGGATCTTTTTGTTTTTGTTCTGAGAAAGAGTTTTACTCTGTTGCCCAGGCTGGAGTGCAGGGGCATTTTCTCGGCTCACTGCAACCACTGCCTCCCAGGTTGAAGTGATTCTCCTGCCTCAGCCTCCCAAGTAGCTGGGATTATAGGCGTGTACCACCATGCCTGGCTAATTTTTGTATTTTTACAAAATTTCGCCATGTTGGCCAGGTTGGTTTCTGACCTCAGGTGATCCACCTGCCTCCCAAAGTGCTGGGATTACCTGTGTGAGCCACCCCAGCGGCTTTCTTGTTTTTTGAAGCTGTGTCTGTGTCAAGCAATTTAAGAGTTATTTCCTGTAAGCCATAGCTCCAGGCAGAGTTGGCCAGTTGCTTTCAGCCTTCTGTGTAAGTAAGGAAACCCTACCCCAACCCTAGCTCTGGCGGATTGTCTTGTCTCTCTTTTTTTTTTTTTTAGGTGGAGTTTCACTCTTGTTGCCCAGACTGGAGTGCAGTGGCACAGTCTCGGCTCACTGCAACCTCCACCTACCAGGTTCAATCGATTCTTCTGCCTCAGCCACCCGAGTAGCTAGGATTACAGGCATGCTCTACTATACCGGCTAATTTTGTATTTTTAGTAGAGATGGGGTTTCTCCATGTTGGTCAGGCTGGTCTCAAACTCCAGACCTCAGGTGATTCACCTGCCTCAGCCTCCCAAATGCTGGGATTACAGGCATGAGCCACCATGCCTGGCTTTTTTTTTTTTTAAATATATATTTTATTGCCTTTTAGGTTTTGGGATACATGTGAAGAATATGTAAGATTGTTGCATAGGTACACACATGGCAGTGTGGTTTGCTGCCTTCCTCCCCTTCACCTATATCTAGTGTTTCTCTCCATGTTATCCCTCCCCAACTCCCCACTCCCCGCTGTCCCTCCCTTAGGTCCCCCCCACAGACCCCAGTGTGTGATGCTTCCCTCCCTGTGTCCACGTGTTCTTATTGTTTAACACCCGCCTATGAGTGAGAACATGCGGTGTTTGATTTTCTGTTCTTGTGTCAGTTTGCTGAGAATGATGGTTTCCAGGTTCATCCATGTCCCTACAAAGGACATGAACTCATCGTTTTTATGGCTGTATAGTATTCCATGATGTATATGTGCCACATTTTCCCTGTCCAGTCTATCATCGATGGGAATTTGGGTTGGTTCCAAGTCTTTGCTATTGTAAACAGTGCTGCAATGAACATTCGTGTGCAGGTATCCTTATAGAACAATTTATAATCCTTTGGATATATACCCAGTAATGGGATTGCTGGGTCAAATGGAATTTCTATTTCTAGGTCCTTGAGGAATCGCCACACTGTCTTCCACAATGGTTGAACTAATTTACACTCCCACCAACAGTGTAAAAGTAAAAATATAGAACGCTTCACGAATTTGTGTGTCATCCTTGCACAGGGAACATGATAATCTTCTCTATTATCGTTCCAATTTTAGTATATGTGCCGCCAAAGCGAGCACTTTTTTTTTTTTTTTTTTTTTAGAAAATGGAAGGGTCGCACTCTGTTGCCCAGACTCTGGACTTCGGTACAGTGGTACAATCATGGCCTTTTTTTTTTTTTTTTTTTTTTTTGTGACAGAGGCTTGCTGTGTCCCCCAGGCTGGAATGCAGTGGGGCGATCTTGGCTCACTGCAACCTCCACCTCCAGGGCTCAAGCAGTTCTCTGCCTCAGCCTCCCGAGTACCTGGGATTATAGGCACCACCATGCCCAGCTAATTTTTGTATTTTAAGTAGAGATGAGGTTTCACCATGTTGGTCAGACTGGTCTTGAGCTCCTGACCTCAAATGATCCCCCCCACCTCAGCCTCCCAAAGTGCTCATAACACAGGTGTGAGCCACTGCATCCAGCCATGCCTAGCTAGTTTTAAAATTTTTTGTAGTGAGGGATCCTCTGCGTGTTGTCCAAGCTGGTCTCAGATTCCTGGGCTTATGTGATCCTCCTGCCCTGACCTTTCAAAGTGCTGAGATTACAAGCATGAGCCACTGTACCAGGCCAGGTTCTGACTTATATGGAGCATTTTTAGTGCCTGTTCCCCAAGGAAGCCAAATTCCCAGCTGCCACAGCCTGTTTCTGAACCAGGAGCCCAGTAGGACTCTGGCTTCAGAGGTCTTACCACTGTGCATTTATATTACTTATCAGTGCCTAAGAGGTATTTATATTATTTTTTGAGCCAGCTATGCTTTATTTATACATTTGATACATTTATATATATAGTTATTTGGGTAAATTTACTGTACCATCTTGGCCTGAAGCCAAGATTTTAAATCTTGCCTTCTTTCAAAGCCACATTTTCTCATCTTTAAAATGAGAGTCTGGACATGGTTGGCTCATGTAATTTAGAGATGCGCTCACTTTTGGAGGCTGAGGTGGATGGATCACCTGAGTTCAGGAGTTTGAGACCAGCCAGGAGAACATGGTGAAACCCTGTCTCTACTAAAAATACAAAAATTAGCCGGGTGTAGTGGCAGATGCCTGTGATCCCAGCTACTCTGGAGGCTGAGGCAAGGAGAGTTGCTTGAACCCAGGAGGTGGAGGTTGCAGTGAGCCAAGATAGAACCACTGCACTACAGCCTGGGTGACAGAATGAGTCAATGTCTCAAAAAATAAATAAATAAAATTAGAATTATAGGCGCTATCTCTTAGTGTTTCTTTGTGCTGATGAAATGAGATCATACACAGTTATACACATTTATATATAAATTCTTAGAACAGTGCCTTGAATATAGTAGATGCTATATATATAGTAGCGATTATGTTTTCAAGTGAATCTTGTAATTTCTTGTTGGTATTTAGGCAGTTAGTTATATAGTGACAGCCAAACACTTGTCGATCAATATTCAGAATTTCTGTAAATGTGTCTGGGAATTATGGCAAGTTTTGAGGCATTTGGGTGAGACATTTACATTTAATTTTAGGCCAGGTGCAGTGGCTCACCTCTGTAATCTCAACGCTTTGGAAGGCTGAGGCAGGAGTGTAATATTGGGGTTCAGGGTACCCTCAGCTCCCCTGAGAGGACATTTCTCCAGGTTCTTGGTCTCCTGCCCTCTCAAGAATGAGAGAGTGGACCATGGCGCAGTGCGTAGTAAATGCCATACTCAATAGTGTTTGTAGAAAGTGATTTACTTAGAGAGAGAGAGAGAGAAACAGGAGAAGGAGAGAGAAAGAAACAGCTAACTCTCACACTGAGTGTGAGAATCCAGAAAGATGGAATTGAGGAGAGGAAAGCAGCTTCCACACAGAGTGGAAGGAAATAGAGAGATGGAGTTTAGAAGGGGAAGATAGACTTCCACGAAAGTGTGAAAGGGGACTCCAGAGGGAAAATCCAGAATAGAGAAAAACAGCTTCCATGAGAGTGTTCGTGGAAGGGGACCCAAACATGGAGTCCAAAGGGGTATGGAAGAAAGGGACTTTTAACCTGGGAGGAACCCCCACCTTCTTTAAGACCCCTGGCCAATGAAAGGAGTTCCTTAGAATTTCTTTCTTTCTTTCTTTCTTTCTTTTTTTGAGACGGAGTTTCGCTCTTGTTACCACGCTGGAGTGCAATGGCGCTATCTCGGTTCACCACAACCTCCGCCTCCTGGGTTCAGGCAATTCTCCTGCCTCAGCCTCCTGAGTACCTGGGATTACAGGCACGCTCCACCATGCCCAGCTAAGTTTTTGTATTTTTAGTAGAGACGGGGTTTCACCATGTTGACCAGGATAGTCTTGATCTCTTGACCTCATGATCAAGAAAGTTTAAAAAATTATATTAAACTTAATCTATACCCTGGTACCTTGAGCTGAAGGGTTTTCATGATGAATTACAGTTTTTTTTTCCAATGTAACAGAGTGCTTTATTCTTTATAGTTACAGTTGCTTTTTAGAAATATTCATGTAATTGATATTTCTTTAAGCTCTATTGCATGTACTTTCTATTAGCTACAAATCAAGTGAATTTAATATGTGTAGATGTCATAGAGACACCATAGAAGTTGGAATGGAGTGAATTTTAAGTCAGGAAAAAAGGGGTGTAACAACGTACATGAGGGAGGAAATAAAGTGGTGCTTGAGGTAGAGATGTTGGCTTAGACAACCATAGTTCTGACTGAGGTAAAGATCCTTTAGGGGAAAGAACAAAGATGAGGGATAAAATATTATAGGACAAACTTCTAGCCTCTGCGTTTAGGTTATGACATATATTTGCATATTGCAACTCCTAAAGCCCTCCTTCTAGTCAGTTAAACTTGAACCATGAATTCAGAAGCATACATCATTATTTTTTATTTAAAAATCAGAATGGTAAGTTAGTTTTTCTTCCTGGATTTGGGGTTTGAATTAGTGGACAGATGAGTGTTGTACACCATTGCTGTCTACTATTTTTTGGGAAAACCTGAGTCTGTCATTCTGCCCTTCAGAGATGTGCTCATGAAGATTATGCTTGTTGATAAATGATCCTACTTCCTTATTTCTTCAGCTTAAATAATAAGACATACCACTTCCTTTTTCCTATTACATCAAGCCCTGAGTATGCCTTTGTTTTTATTTTTGTCTTATATTGTAAACTACTGTGTACATAATAGGTATTTGGAACCATGAGAGTGTTTTATCAAGAAAGAAGCATGGCACTGAGAGGATTGATAGTGACTACATTAGAAGCACTTTGGTTAAGGCAAGATTTTATAATGTTCCTAGTGGTTATACATTTCTCCCCAAATGGAAAGGTTTTTTAAAAGACTGGGTTAATTCTTCGTCAGAATCAATGATGGGATTTGGAAATCTTCAATTAAGTAGAAGATATATTAGGATTCTGACCCAGAACCTTTGAGGTATTAGGAAGAAATTAAACACTACTTGTCATAGTTACTCCTAACATTTTACATCTTTCTTTTTAAATGTTTCTTCTATTTTATTTTTCAATCTGGGACAAGACTGCTAATATTTAAAAATCTGTCATATTCAGAAATAGATTATATATGTAGTAATTGTGGTTTTTGAAATTACTTTTAATGGCAAAAACCATGATTACTTTTGCACCAACCTACAGTACAAGTATTAATACAACCATCTGTCATATATCAAAATAGATCAAGAGTCTTTTTTCTTGAGACAGGGTCTCACTCTGTCACCCAGGCTGGAGGGCAATGTTGCAATCTCGGCTCACTGCAACCTCTGCTTCCCAGATTCAAGTGATTCTCCTGCCTTAGCCTCACACGTACCTAGGATTACAGGTGTGTACTGCCATGCCCAGCTAATTTTTTTTTTTGTGAGTGTGTGTGTGAGACAGAATCTCACTTTGATTCCCAGGCTGGAGTGCAGTGGTGCGATCTTGGCTCACTGCAATCTCTGCCTCCTGGGTTCAAGCCATTCTTTTGCATAGCCTCCCCAGAGCTGGAATTACAGGCACTGGCCACCATGCCTAGCTGATTTTTGCCAACATGGGGTTTCACCATGTTGGCCAGGCTGCTCTTGAACTCCTGACCTCAGGCGATCTGCCTGCCTCGGCCTCCCAAACTGCTGCAATAACAGGCGTGAGCCACTGGGCCTGGCCTGTATTTTTTTTTTTTTTTTTTTTTTTTTTTTTAGTAGAGATGGGGTTTCATCATATTGGCCAGGTCTTGAACTCCTGATCTCAGGTGTTTCACTTGCCTTGGCTTCCCAAATTGCTGGGATTACAGTCATGAGCCATTGTACCTGGCTGATCAAGAGTCTTTGTATTGACCTTGTGCCATGAATACTCCTTTTTGTCTATATTGCCATACTGGATATTTGTAAAGCAGTTTAGTTTGCTGGAAGGAACACAGGATTTGAAATCAGAGCGCTTTAAATCTTGTGTCTGTCACTTACTAGCTTTGTGACTGACCTTTTTGAAATTGTTCACCTTATAAGTAATATGAAAAGAATAATGACATCTGTCTTATGTCTGTCTGCTATATGGATTAAAATTAAACAAAAATGCTCCATGTAAACTATAACATCCTCTGGGCGTGTAACAATTTTTTTTTTTTTTTTTTTTGAGACAGAATCTGTCCCTCCTGATATGGTTTGGTTGTTTGTCTCTTCTACATCTCATGTTGAAATGTGATTCTCAGTGTTGGAGGTGGGGGCAGAGGGTTGATTGGATCATGGGAGCAGATTCCTCGTGAATGATTTACCATTATCCCCTTAGTGATAAATGAGTCTTGCTCAGTGAGTTTACATGAGATGTCGTTATTCAAAAAAGTGTGGCACCTCCCCACCCCCTTTCTTCTGCTCTTGCTGTGTGATGTGCCTGCTTCCACTTAGCCTTCCACTATGATTGTAAGCTTCCTGAGGCCCTTACTAGAAGACAAGCAAATGTTGGTGCCATGCTTATGTATCCTGCAGAACCATGAGCCAGTTAAACCTCTTTATAAATTACCTAGTTTCAGTGTCCTTTGTAGTAGCACAAACAAATAGACCTTTCTTGCCAGAGTTAGAAATTGGTTAGACTTTTTATCCTAT